CTGCTCTGAGTGCAGTGGCTCCTGGATGACTCAGGATTCAGTTTCTCAACAGGACAGGAGCAGACCGACTCTGTGTCAGCTGCTCTGAGTGCAGTGGCTCCTGGATGACTCAGGATTCAGTTTCTCCACAGGACAGGAGCAGACCAACTCTGTGTCTGCTCCAGCCCAGAGGACCAGGCAGGGGCAGAAGGGAAATGGAATTCCGGAGGGGCGGGGTTTGGGTAGCTGCTGTGCCCTGGATGTCCCTGGCTCCCCGATCTATCTCTGGGGTTTAGGGAGTGAGATGGAGTTCTTACCAGCTGCTCTGAGTGCAGTGGCTCCTGGATGACTCAGGATTCAGTTTCTCCACAGGACAGGAGCAGACCGACTCTGTGTCTGCTCCAGCCCAGAGGACCAGGCAGGGGCAGAAGGGAAGTCTCATCTTAAATTCTTACTAAAGCTACATATTAACAAATTCCTTCACACTTTAAAATTCACAGTGTTTTCTGACATGTTGATAGTCTACATTAGTTCTAAAATTGGATGACTGTATCTGATGAGAATGGTCCTCAGATACTGCTAGGTAGGAGAATCGCCACAGAGCACATGTGATAAAGACTCACAGATCAGGCAGGTGAGTTTAAATAATTTTACTGCTAAAATCTGAGACCTATGGTTTAAAAGCTGAAGGGTTATTTTCTTCACCAATTGTCATACATGTTGGCTTTCAAGCTGTGTTATATCATCATCTTATTTTTTTCCTCCTGCTTTCTTTCTCTGCCAAATATAATTCTGATTTAACAAGTACTTATCTGAGAACAACACTTTAAATAGCCAACTGCTCAGTGTAGCCTTGTGAGGGCAACCATAGATCTGTTCATCACTCCGTCCCATTAGTTTCTCAGTAAGTAGTTTTGGTTAAATGATCATTAGTACCCCAATAAATGTGTATTATTTAGACACATTCTATGAGGAATATATTAACAAAGGGACATAAAAAATAAAATTTTCATAATTATTCAATAGGCACCTAGTTTTCTTAATTGTTCAAATCTTCCGAATAAGCTGTTTTCTTGAGAAGTATACGTAAAAGTGTAATATCCATGCCAGAAAGTGGATAATGTTTATGATTATATAAATTAATAATGGGTGTTAGAACACAGGTGAGGACCAGTGTACATGTGAATGATATAATGTTTAAAATAGGATCTCTCAAAGTTGAGCATATATCAGAATCACCTACTGCTCTGATTAAACTGGTGCTGAGCCCAGCAGCTCTCAGTGTATCTGATGCCACTGCCCTATAAAACGACCAAAACCTTTAAATTGCTGATACATTTCCAGGTAGCACTGATGCCCCTGCTTCATGTGTGCTTTATAGAGGCAGCTCATTTCTGAAGCAGAGAAGTGATCAGAGATGCCATGTGACATCTATGTTAGGCATTAGTAAAGAATATGTGGCCAAAGGTGCCAGGAGACATCAATGTTAGTATTAGGTTTCAGGATGTTTAGCTGTGAAATTCAGCCCATCAATATCCATTTAAGGAGTTCCCTGGAACCCTGTATTTTAAGAAAGGTCAGAATGAATGACTATTCCAGGAAAGTAACGCTGCTGTGATTTATGGAACATATTTTGTACATGTTCCTACTACATGAACACTAAAGAGTGTTCTTTACCTACACAGTACCTTAGATAACTGTTTTGAATACCAAATACAAGAAAAAATAAATGCAAGAAAGGGGCCAAATGCCAAAATCACAGAGAAATTTCTAGGAAGATGTGATTGTCGTCTTCTCAGTGTATGGCAGTTAGTGGGGGAAGCCATCTCAACTATTTACTGTGAACTTGAATCAAGTCCAGAAACCAAGGTGGTGTAGCCTTTAGAGTAAACTATGCATATCCACGCTTTAAATCTTTCTAGATTGTTTACAATAATGAATGCTATACATAAATTCTCTATAGCTAACTCTTGTACTGCTTTGTTTAAGAGTAATGACAAGAAAAGTTCTGCATATGTTCAATGCAAAAGTGTTTTTTGAATATTTTCAGTCAGTCATTAATTACATGCATGGAAAGAAACCCACAGCTGTGAAGGACCAAATTGCCCAATGACATTCTTTTGCTAGTATTGACTGTCTAACCTGACATTTTCCTCCTTTACTTTGTGCTGTTATTAACTTTCTACACTTTGTAGCCAAAATTATGTATCTGTTTAATGACTGTACTGTTTACTCAAATTATGAACTTACTCAATTAGATCTCTGGTGAATTATAGAGTTTCTTGGATGAATGTGCCATTTTGGACAACAGTTATTGAAGATAAAACTATCTCTTAAAAATCTCTCATCAGTTATGTTTTGGACCTTTCTTCTTACTCTTGTTAGGCCATGACAGAGCCCCCAGTTCTCAAGTTGTTAATGGTTTCTTGCAAAGTTTGTTCCTCCTCCTCCTCTGTTCCCTGTGTTGCTTAGGAAAGAGCCTTCTAGCTTCTAAGAAAGCATTTCTTCATAATGGTGGCATTTGGCATTTAGCATCTCCTCCATGGAAACCATGCTTTTCTTTTCTCATTTATTTGTGTTCTGTGGAGAAAAAAAAGAGAAAGAAATAAGAAGGAGAATAACTTCAGATGTCCTACTATTAAGAAACTGTCTCAACATTGTTATGACAATGTGTAGCCAAGATTGTGCCCCATGTCACTTTGACTGTGAGTGTGATCTCATCTGCTCTGGGGAGTTTGTAGAGGAACACATACATCAGTACAATGTCTGTCATGGATATGCATTCTGAAGAATATGTAGAGGAACATATACTTTAGTATGATGTCTGTCATGATTGTGCGTGCACCCATGTGATAAAGTATGTGGTCTGATTTCTTGAATTTACCATGTAGAAACCCTCTACTAGAAAGTTGCCTCTGTATCAACAATCCACTTAAGTGGAGAGTATTATTTTGTGTTCTTATATTTAAATCATTATTATTTTTAAGCACATAAGACTATGTCTATACTATACTAAACACTATTTTTTGGGAAAATATAAAGATTAAACCCCAGAAATCTAGGATTCTAGTCCTACATCCACCATTTAGTAGCTCAACACTCTGTGCCTCAATTACACATCAGTAAACGGGCTGAGGCCTGGCATTTATGCAGATTTTGAATTGAAGCCAAACACTTTTTTTTAAAAATGTATAGCTTTCTGTGAATCAGCAGCTATACACGTGGTCTTTACTAACAAGAGTGTCTTCTTACCTGCTGTAATACTTGTTGTCCTCCTTGGCCACTCATCCTTCTCAGCCAAGCTTTCATAGCCACAGTTTAGAATGGACTCTAAGTGCTGCTGTTGCACAATCTCAACATCAACCGTTCTGTCACAACCGAGTGACAAGGAGTTCTGTGGTAGAGTGCTTGTCTACATGCAAGAGGTCCCAGGTCCAATCCTCAACACTACTAGAGCTAATCAATTGACACACACTACAATTGTTTTAAGAAATGCTTTGTTCAAACAAAATCCAGTGTAGAAACCCAGGGTGTGGAACAGATGGAGGCAGAGGAGTTCTGTGGGACCTGATGCACTTTCTGAGCCTTCCATCATTCTTCTGGAGTTGTGTAAACACTGCCCTTGAGGCGTACTGGTGAGGAGTGGGTTGATGTTAATAAGACACAGACAGCATCATGCCTAAAAGTTGCTGTTGAGCAAGTATACCATGTTGTTTACTAAGATTTCCATTGAAATAGTGCCAACACTAGAACTGTTCTCTTTTTGAAGAAATCAAGTTTTTATTTTCCTGATAAATGCACCTCGAAATACATGATTTTTTATGATCACACATAAAAATGGTATTACTATGGTATAGAAAGCTCTACAGGTCAAAATGGGAGGAGAATGGACGAGGCAAGCTGTAAGTTCATCAAGTTGATGTAGAAGGGATTCGACATCAAATGAAGCTAACCTATAACTTCCCTGTGGAGAGTGGAATTTCTTCATGAAACAGCTATAAGTGAGACAAGTACACTTAACGACAGAAGCAGTAATTCTGTGGCATCTCTTGATGGTGACTACAATAGAACATGTTACTACTGTTACTAGTCTTTCTCTAGATTGCTTTAAGTGCTATTCAGGTTTTTTAGATCATGTAGATATTTTAGTAGAGTTAATAATTTAAAATTTTTTGAATTTGTTTACTGATTTGAATATTGTGATTTAGAATTGAACATATTAGAAATTATTAACAAGAGTGTGTTCAAACAGCAGAATTAAGAAAACATTCAGATGCATACCAATATAAATCACATTTTAACTTAAAAATAATTATAAATGTTTCTGATGCAAGTTTAAGAGTAAAACAAGGTTTTTGGTGAGCTAAAGTTTTATGTTCTGTGGTCCCTTAAGTGGTTCTCTAGAAAGTCATTTATCCCCTAAAATAATAAGACAGTTTTAAATTTTTCTTTGCTTTTTTGTTTTGTTTTGTTTTTGTTTTTCGAGACAGGGTTTCTCTGTGTAGCCCGGGCTGTCCTGGAACTCACTCTGTAGACCAGGCTGGCCTCGAACTCAGAAATCCGCCTGCCTCTGCCTCCCAAGTGCTGGGATTAAAGGCGTGCGCCACCACCGCCCAGTTTTAAATTTTTCTAAGACTTACTTTCAACTAACCTTTTAGCTTAAGAAGAATCCATCTCTAATGTAGAAAAATAACTCCTAAAAGTTAAAACATTTAAAATTAAGCAGAGCAGCCTAGCTGCGGTCTCATTCTGTCTGTCTCGTTTTGACACAGGCATATCTCTATCTTTAAATTTGAGGAGATGAGAGTCTGTGGATACTCCTCATCATAACAGGAGCTGATGATTCATAATCTGTTAATAATTTTATAACTAATACATAATACTCCATAAATTATTTTTTCTTTTAACCCTAATAGTTGACTAATTTCTATTTGGAAAACTATACCAGGAAAAAGAGCCAGGCCAACTCAGAGATTACAGTTTAAAACACAATAAGCTAACTTATTTCTTCTTTGCCAAAGTTTCAGACCCAAAGTTTACGACTGTCAGACCAGCACAGGAAATCACATCTGTGGAGAGGAATAGTCAGCATCACCTTGATTGAGGGTCGAGACCTCAAAGCAATGGATTCCAATGGGTTGAGTGATCCGTATGTGAAGTTCCGGCTTGGCCATCAGAAGTACAAGAGCAAGGTACTCCATCCATCTATGCCCCTCTCTCTGTTGGGAAGGTTCTGACCAGTGACTAGACAGATTTTAGGAGATGTGAATGTTGGCTGCCTTTTGAAATGAGAACTTTGGAAAGTGTCTGAAAGCAAAGCTGGCTGACGGCCTGGGTGCCAGGTGATCTGGAGTGAACCACTCTGCCCTTCTACCTCTGTGTCTTCATCTAGTACTCAGGAACCAGCTCTCAGCACATTTGTGAGATGTAAGAGGAAAAACAAACAATAATACTCCAGAAAGAGCATAACATATGTGTTCACAGAGAAGAATGAGGGTGTTGATATAGACCAGCTCTGATACATGCATCATTTCCCATACAGTGAAAGTCTTTCAAATTACTCTGAGTCATTTTATTCAATCTGACTTTGACCAATAGAATTTTTAAAAATTGTTTCACATTTTAGTTAATCCTATAATAACTTTAAAATTTTATATTATAGTTGTATCAAATGCATTACAATTACAATTCACTTCTCTTCTTTCTCCCCTCCCACTCCTGCCAAGCATTTATTCTTCCCAAATTGACTCCCACCTACCGTCGCATGATTGCAATGCCTATGTTATATCCAAGACATTTAAATGTTTTTAGGAAACAAAGAGCCAAATCCCTGCTGTTGCAACGAGGCATGAGCAGTAGCACTGTAGAAATAAGCTAAAATAATGCCTACCTAAGCAAGTTATTGAAAATGTTAAATAAATGTATTATAGTCGTAGAAAGGGCTTAGTATTGCTGTGATTCTAAGTACCCATGAAATACTAAAAACAGAAGGAGAAAGATTAGTGGCAGTAGTAATATATGTAGAGTAACAGCTTTTTCTTAGTAGTAATATATTAAGAAACAGTAGTCCAGGGCTACACCTTGGTATGTGTAATTTTAACAGCTTTCAGTTTGTACAGCTAGCATTTACAGATGGCTTGGGATGAGCACTCCCATCCATCCTGAATTACATAAGGATCACATTCCATTTCTGTAAAAAACAATTGTCTTTAGTGGACTCATCTGCATAGATTGGGGGTCAACACACTGTCTAGTTCCCTTCTAACACAGAAAGTCTTTATCAGCACTTAACTTAATTCAAAGTATCACAAAACTGACTCTTTAGCACGCAGGGGATATTGCTCCCAGACTGTTTGGTAATTTTACGGAGGCCCACACAGAAATTTTAGATATAACTTTTAACTGGAAGAAAGGTATATGGGAAAGATAATCCTAATAGCAAACACTGAAAACTTAATCTGTTTATGGCCAGATTTAAAAAACTGGACTACATTCCAAAATGCCATAGGAGTTCATCTAAGCTGCAAAGGACATTTGGGTTATCATAGCACCTATCTACTGCCATCTCTGTCTGGTCACCAGGAGCTTAGGAACAAATTTTAAAACAGCTACTAGTTCCAAAGATAGGTATCAATGGCCACTTCTGTTTTCTCTTAACACAATTTGCATGTTATGCTAGGCTTAATTTTATAATTCTGCTCTTTAGATATGAAATATAAACCCCACTAAGGACATGTGTCTCTATTTGATCTTTCTGTCCATGATTTATTGCATATTAATTTCAGATTATGAACTTGTAAGTTGTGATTTGTTTGCATTATCTTGTATACACATCCATCATTGCTTTCAAACTCTTTACTTCTAAAGATCTGTCTGCCATACATTAAATTTTGGAAAGGCCATTACATTTGTCATTTAAAAAAAAGAATGACAAAAGAAACAAATATGAATTCAGCCTAACCAAATGCTAAATGGAATTTATAACATATTAATATCGGTAACTTAGTTTATTGGTTTACTAGGTAACTTCTCTGAATTCTTGAAATCACAAAATTACAGTCTAGATGTCCTGTTGTTTATGTAGCATAAAGAGCACACGTGTGCCATTTCCCTGTGTGTGAAGTGGAATAATAGCACAGCGATATTAAATACTAAAGGCAAAAATGTGCTGAGCTGCCTCAAATCTACTTCCACTCCCACACAGCTCACTGTCTGCTTTTCATGCACTTTCTATGTGCATGGGGAGTAAGGGGAAAGAGGAACTCTGGGAATTTTCATTTTCTTTTATTACAAGATAACTGACTATGTGTTCTTCCTTTAGACAGAAGCTGTGACTGAATAAATGTCAGTATCTGAATGAGTTATTTCACGGACAGGCTACCTTTCTTTGTATTTCATGTTTTGCATATGTTGTGTAAGATAGTCAGGGGCTTACTTCTGATTTCTCTGGACATGTCCATAAAAGTCTACTGAGCAACAAAGATGACATACATGTACATGCTGGAAGCTTTAGCTGAATGAACTACTTCCCTTAAAAAGACTTTCTACAGTGTCTCAAGTTGATTCTTAAATGCTACTATTGATAATACAATAACTCTTTTACTCTTCAGATTATGCCCAAAACATTGAACCCTCAGTGGAGGGAGCAATTTGATTTCCATCTCTATGAAGAAAGAGGCGGGATCATGGACATCACTGCCTGGGACAAAGACGCTGGGAAAAGAGACGACTTTATTGGAAGGTTTGTGCAAACTGCTGTTTTATTTACCTTAGAGATGGAAAGTTTTTGTTGAAAGAATGTTTTCTTTAACTTTGGTTGTTGTCAATGATGTTTACAGTTTTGAAAGAAAGGACCTTTTTTTTTCTAGAATTCTTTTATTTTTGCTAGAGTGTGGATTCCTCAACAGAAACCCCAAAGGCTAGTAGCATTTGATACCTCCTTCCTCACCTGCAGAGGACAAGTCAAACGAAGATCTCCTTCCCAGCAGATTTCCTTGCAGTATTGGGTACACAGAAGCCTTGATATTTCAAAAACAACCACACCCATAACTGTTTTTTAATACTCCTCAAGATGCAGAAGGTTTTGGAACAAGGGGAAAACATGACAATCACCAGCTAATCATTACAGCACCGCCTAGAACCGAAAAGCATAGATTCAAAGAATGACCAGTAGATGGCAGGTTTGCCTTAGTTGATGGACAGGCAATTTTAAATTAATATTCATAAATTTTATCCAGATGTCAGAATTATTGTGCATACAAGTTATGGGAGTTGGAAAAGAGGAATTTCATCTGATATGCGACACTTAGATGAAGAAAGCACACATTCAAGGCTGAGAAGCGATCTGTGGTCATGTTTGTTTTCACAAAGCATATTGTGACCATAAAATGCATTATATCCTACAACTCTCTACAAGGATCCTTGTAATCTCTTAGGAGTTCATAAATCTGTAAAGAGTTACAGAATTTTAAAAAAGGAAGAACGCAAGTGAGGCAGATCCATGTTAATCTGATAACACAGCAAAATGCATTCTGAGGCTCTGTGACATTTCTCTACACAGTTAAGTTTATTTGGGTCGACCACTTGAATTATAGGATTGTGTTCTGATTACAAAGCCTATTTTTATATTTTTTTGACAGTTACATATGTGCATTGTAGCAAAATGTGTGGAAACTTGCCAGCATTGAAAAAAGCACGTTGTGCAGAGGGCTTTGTTGTTTTAAAGAATCTTTCTTCACTGTTGTTCACAGGAATTCCAAGTCACTGATTTTACAATCCAAAGAGAATTCACACATTCCCAGAGTAAAGGGAGTTTTAGTCTAAAAGTAAAAACAGGAATCCAACCCAACATACTATGCTCTTTATTTTTATTTAAATGGTTCTGACAAACCGATTTAAGCAATAGTTTCACCTTATGCTTGTAAAACGGAAGATGAAGCTAAGTTTCCGTTAAAGCCTCATACTTTACATGTACAGGAAGGTGGGGAGAGCACTGCGGGCTAGGAATTGCATTATATACTTCAATCCTTTTGAAAGCAGCAATCTTTGTTACACTGTGCTCCTCAGAAAAGTACTACTGTTAGAGTTTGCTCAGTTCTTTTGTTTACTTCGGTGCCTCCCTCCAGTTTAAGTTCTAGTCTCTGTGACTCTTGGAATCACTCCCTGTGGCTGTGTATTTGACCGTAGCTTTCTCCTTGGGAAGTTAGAACCTAGCTGCTACATGAACACTCACTTTTCATAGTTTACAGAAACAGTTCCTGTCTTGTAATCAAACAATAAACCTGTTCATTCATTACTTTTCAGAATGAGGGGGGTTGTGCTCTAAAACCCACTGGCTCCTGCTCTGGCTACTGTCTACATGGGGTTCTTCTTTACCCTTTTCCGTTTTTATTTCATAATGACAAGTCATTGTTTATGCATTTCTTTCTTTGGGAAGAATTTCCAACTTTGGATATTGTAAAATGTTACAGGCATTTTTATTGTAAAATGTCCACTCCTTCCCCTTCCTCCTCAATGGACAGCAGGCTTGCAGAGAGGAGGCCAAGTCTCCCTTGCTCACCTTGCTTCTGGGCTTGGGCTATTCTGTTATTTCTTTCTATTTCTTTTAAATGCTTGGCCACATATTTTTGAAACTATGTTTTATAAATGTAAACTCAATAGTAAAGTTAGTTTGATCATAATGAAGGCAAGGTTGACTATCAAAATGGGGTCCAGCCTGAAGTGGTGAAGCATAAATATGTAAGCAGTGAACACTGCCTCCCTCCATTCTCACTAGGATTCATGAGGTCAGGCTTCTGCCCCAACAGCTGCTTCCATCAGGCCATCTGTAAACCCCAAGTCATATAGCCCTGTAGCAGAGCAGGAACTAACCGATGGCTTCCATACCTTGGAACATATTTTTCACCTGACTCCCAAGATACCATATTTCCTCCTACTCTGGATACTCCATTGCACTTTCTGTCCTTGTCCCTTTTGAACTATAGTTCTAGAGCAAATGCACATCAGAATTTTCTCTGCCTGAACTTGCTTCTCCAGTGATCATTTTTCCTGTGCTTCCTGCGCCACCTACAGTCTGAGAACTACCAAGGTGCTAGTCACTCTACTCTTCTTTCAGCCTCAGATTCTTATAGCCAACTTACTATTTGAATAATTAAGATGTTGCTTCAGTGTAGACACCCCCAAGTTAGCCCTTGACTCCCAATGCCCGAAATCTCTTCTTTCAAGATTTTCCTTTGTTCCTTGCTAATACTGAAAATACCAGAGTCATCTTTTTATCTTTTTTTTCTCACATTCAACCAACACACCAGCAGTCCAGTCTTTCATCCATGTTGCAACCTGGATGACATCAAGATCTTCCATGAGACTCACCTCTTAAAGAATCTATATGTATCCCGTATCAGACAGTGAGAGGAGCCTTCAGCACATAGATCTTTTAGGACCCTCGTCACCCTTGTCACTGCACTTCTAAGTTGACAACCACCTGCTTCCACATGGACCATGGCAGCAGCCACCCTTTTCTGCTCTTTCATCTAACAGTCTGGCCCAAAGCAATAACCAACTTCATGGTTTTTTAGTTTAATAAGGTTTTATTTCTTTTCCAAAGTACAATCTGTTGAACCTCCTCCTGCCTCTTCCTTGGCAGCTTGGGTAACTCCACCCATAGGAATTCTAGTGTAAATCATTTAAGCTCTATGGTTTGAAATCCATTTGCTATTCTTTACTAAGAGGCTCCTGAAGGGCTGCCTTAGCTACCTACACCTTTAGATTCTTAGAATGCATAACTGGGGTTACAGTCAGATGCTTCCTAAACCCTATCAAAAGTATAATAGCATGATCAGACAGAACAAGGTTGTTGGACTTGGCCCAAACCCTGCCTTCTGATCCCTTCCTTTTGCTCCTAGACTTCTATGTGGGTTTATTTTCTTAATTTACTTTCCCATATCCTCCTTGTTGCTGTTGCTGTTTTGTAAAGGCTCAAAGAGTGGTAGAGACTTCAGTGAGATGTGAGTTATAGCAAACAGTTAAGATTTTTATTTAATATATTTGTATGCATGTTATATGATGCGGGTTTATGTTTGTGCACATGCCGCAGCACACATGTCAAATTCAGAGACCAACACTGTGGGATCTGTTCTCTCCTTCCATCTTTACATGTGTTCCAGGGATTGAACGTGAGTCCCCTGGATGCACAGCAAACACTTTTACTTATTATACCATCTCTCCAGTACAAAGAGAAAAAAAACCACAAAATAATTTAGCTTTCTATTCAGAGCTCTTCAGTTGTTTCCCATGAATGGTCTGGGTCGAAGCAAAGTCCTTCTTATGAACTATCGTGGTCTGTATGATGTGGTCCCATACCTCTGCACTGAAATGCTATCCTTCTTCCTCTACTCTCCCACCAGAATGGACACTAGCCTGCTTCCAAAGCACACCAGATATTTCCTCATCTGTGACACCCTTTCTTTAAGACATCTGCCTGCCTTGCTTTTGCACTGTTGTAGGTCTGATAAACTCTGTTTACCTAATATTCTCTTTCGCCTAATCTGCTAATATTTTATACATTAGACATAGCCACTATACTGTGTATCTTCCTTATTCTGTTTGATCATCCACTTTGCTGTACCAGAAGGCAAATTCCATGACAGGAGGGATATTTAAATGTCGGTTTACTGTGGCATCATCAGAAAGTGTGTGGCACATATCAGTAAAAATTAATTAGAATACAAACAAAACTTGATTTAATATTGGAAATTATGATTATTCATTCTTTAAATAAAAAATGATCTGATGCCCACTGTTACTATATTGTCACTATGAACATGACCTGGTGGAAGGCACAAACTCCAAATACAATTGGGAAAAGAGGTATTTGTATTATACAAAAGAGGAAATTCACTGAGTTAGACTGTATGACAGTACTCATACTTAAAATACTAAGCTAATAGATTTAGAAGAAAAACTAGTCTATACATTTATCAAGATTCTTTCAATACAACATTTTAATTGACATATAAAGTTGTACATATTTTTAGGGTATCATGTGGTATTTAAGGTGTATATAGTGCACTTATGGTTGGTGGAAACATTCGCTATCCTTTCCTGTAGCATTATAAGTAATCCATGCTCCCATTGGCATGGCGCCGGCAGACAGGCCGGCCTGTTCTCAGCCTGGCAGACTCTCTGATTCAGAGCTCTGAAATCTCTCCACCCAGCTCACTAAGTTCCCTTGGCAGACTACTGCCATGCATGCCTCATGCTTCCAAATTCCTGTGGCTGGAGTACCCCGCTACTGCACCTTTCTCAACCCAGTTGAGTCACCGCGTGAAGGAAAACACTACACAATCTTAGTTTAGAATTAACAGGTAACACAATCGCTGGGTGCGGCAACTATCATCCTGATTTTTTTTAAGCTATTCTATGTCAAATCCACCAGGATCACCACTTAAACCGACTGCCTCCATCTACCTACATAGTGGCTACATGCTCTCTCTCATCCAAAAGGAAGTATCTTCCTCCGACCCAGAAGTCCCGCCCACTCACCCAGTGATTGGTCCCTTGAAATCTTTATCATTAGGTGAAGGTTGTGTCACACACACCCAATGGTGTTAACTGAAGCTACACTATTGTCCCACAGCACACTGGAACTCACACCAGCCTCTATCAGCTGAGCCTTACACTGACCAGTCAGCCTTTCCTAGTCATCCCTCCCACTGTTCATCCAAACCTCTAATCCTCTAATCC